CGCGAGCGTGGCGCAGCGCATCCGTGGCCGAGCGCATCCGCGGCGGCTGGCGCCGATCCGCCCGCCCGCCACGTCAGAGGTCACTCGTGAGGACCTCGCTGCGGCGCAGCGCGGCTCGGCGCACGCACTTGTCCAGCACGCGCCCCATGGCCAGCCTCGCGGGGAGGTCGGGGGAGAGGGGTGGTCTTTGAGTTGTTCCGCGCGTACCCCGAGGAAGAGGAGGTGGAGGAGGGGGAGGAGAGGAGTAGACGGCAAGGAAACCTTGAGATTTCGAACAAGACGAGGAGCAATACGAGAGCAAGAGGATGAAGAAACAAAGAGCATGAGAGGGAGGGGGAGGGGGGGAGGAGGAGGGGGAGTAAGAGGAGACTAATGATAATAGTTGCCAGTCGGATCGAGGAGAAGGGATAAGAGACGGGAGGAGGAGGAGGAGGGAGAGGAACAAGAGGAGGAAGAAGATGATAAGGAATCGGTCGGAACATGTGTTGGTTTGAAAGTTTTCGTTCGCCCCTCCGTTTCGCTGTTTCTCCTCCTCTGCCTCCTCGGTCCTCCTCCTCCTCCTCCTCCTCCTCCTCCTCCTCCTCCTGTGTATTCATTCCCTCCTCCCTCTCCCCTTTCGTCTGTCGGGGGGCCGGTCGGGGTTGGTTGAGCCCTGGCCAGCCTGCGCTGGTCCTCTGTCTCCTCCTGGCTCCTCTGCGCTGCTCCTCTGGCCAGCCTGCGCTGCTCCTCCTGGCTCCTCTGCGCTGCTCCTCTGCGCGGCTCCTCCTCCTCCTCCAGCATCCTGTCCAGCAGCGTCTGCCCTGGCTCCCCCGAGGAGTCGTCCTCTGCCTCCTCGGAGTCGGTCTGCCCATCCGCAGGGCGGGTCGGCGACGGCGGCGTAGGCGTAGGGGGGCTTGTCGCTGGTGGCCCTTCGGATACCGTCGAACCGCACGGCGTCTCCAAGGCGGTCAGCGAACCCTCGTCGTCGTTGAAGACCTTCTCTGGCGACAAGCTCGGCCGACGCGCGCAGCTCGGGCTCCGAATCACAGTCGGTCGATTGCGAACCTGGTAAGGCGGTGCTGACCAAGACCGCTTCACCACCCCTGTCGAACTCATCACCTTTGACAACTTCCAGCCAGCTCGAATGAGCTTGTCGGTTGCAGCTGGGTCTCCCCGAAAAGCAGCTTCTATCTCGGGCTTGCTCGGCTTCTCCACGTGATCTTCTTTCGCTGCTTGTCGTGCGGGAGCTGTGGTTTCTTTGGGCGAGCTGATCGGGGCTGGTGCCTTCTGATCTTTATGCATGATCTGGGCGACCTTCTCGAAGAGCTGCGCGCGCGTGCGTGTTCTCTTGGCTTCCTGGACCAACGCCATCGCCATCGGCAGATTCTTCTTAGTTTCTGCGCTCAGCATGCGCTCCTCGACCTCCTCAGCCTGGCGACTACGCCGCCTCCGCGACCGCCGACTGCGCCGCCTCCTCGGCCTGGTGCTCCTCTTCCTCTTCTCGCGCCTCCGACGGCTGGAACGGCTCCTCCGCCTCGTCCTCCTCTCCTGCTGGCGCGACCTGCTGCTCGGAGATCTCCTCCTCCTCCTCCTCCTCTGGCTCTCTGGCTGCACCTCAGCGTCGCAGCGCCGCCTCCTGCTGCCGCGCTGCGTCGCGGCGCCGCCTGTCAGCGCACAGAGGGGGGGGGGGAACTCAAAAGATGTTGGGGGTGAGTCGGGAATTGGCCGCCTGCAGCCGCGAGCTCGCTGTCGTCGCGGGGCAGCGCCTCAGCGCCCCTGGCAGGACTCGCCATCGGCCGAGGCCCCTTCAAAGGGGCTGTTACCGGACGGTGGCGGCCACCCCGCTGCCTTCAGGTTCGAGCAGATAAACGTTTGGGGTATCTTCAGCTGAGCATCTTCTCTCCACCCAATTCCCCCATGTTCGAGTAACGTTCACCGTTTGCTACATTCTTCCCCCACACGCTCGCCCTATTTTACATCCCCTCGTTCACTCTATATCCCCTCCATGTCCCCAATCGCCTGCTCCTGCCGAGCATTCTCAATAAACGCATTCGCTGTGGCGAAGCAAACGAACTATGCAGCTCATATCAGTCTGCAAGGGGTGCATCTGGCCAGAATTTCCGAAGCGAAATCAGCCGTGGCGAGAGAAGGTGCCTCTGCACCGAAAGTTGGAAACCAACCTGAACAACGTTGCTCTCACACTCAGTCTACCATTGGAATTGCATTGGAATTACATTGTGATTGCGTTGGGTTTGCGTTGGAATTGAGTTGGAGTTGCTGCTGCAATGAGTTTGATTTGCGTTGTAATTGCATGTGCATGGCAAAGGGTGATGACTACACTGCGTTTTGGGGGGGGGGGATGTCGAACTTATTTATTGCCCCACAGCACGAGCATCCGAGATCGCCGAACAGGCGTCGCGCCATGCGTGGCTAACCCACGCACGAAACCAACAAAATACCAAATATCATGCAAAAAACGCCACAGGCTCCAGATCAGATAAGTCGAGAGTGGGCGACTCTAGTCAGACATTGGTTCACTCCTCATCAAAGCGAGCGTCTACGCCCAGGGTGTCGCAAACAAGTTGAGCATACCGGAGGCAAAATTCCTTCGGGCATTCAGCAGAGCTTTGCAAATCACGTTTAGCTCCGTTCACCCAAGTTCCCTGAGATGAGCCCCATCCATTTTTGGAGCCCTCGGACTCTTCAGAGTGTTTGCGTTTAAGTTCACGCATGCAACGAGCTGACTCAACGCAAAGTCGATCGCCCGCTCCACCCATCGTAGCCTTAGCTTGTCTCTGGTTTCGTTGCAACAGCTCACAGCACCTCTCGAATGGGAGTGTAGTGAAACACTCTATTGGTTTCATGGTCCTTGCACCGAATGCTCGCAGGTTCGTCACGAAACGCTTTGCCCTTGTGAGCCTGATGGCCATCTCCACAGACGCATGTTTGTACAGCAGCGAGTTGATGGGCTGTTCGGTCATGAAGCAAACGTTCCGAATGTCTGCGAACCCCATCAGGTAAGACCTCCCCTGCCCGAACATATCCAGACGCTGCGAAATCAAAGAAGACGACGATCGAGGACGACTGAGAAATGACGATCGGTGACGACGGGATGATGGAACGGACGACTGACGGGGACGGACGTTCACAAGGACGACGGGGATCGTCGTGAATCCGTGCTATGTCGTTCGATCGCCTCTGGACGCCCACGAGGCGCCGTCGGATTTTTATGCCTACATCTGATTTTGTTCGAGGCGCCCTCGTTCGATCGCCTCCCCTATCTAACGAGTCTGCGACATCCGCATGCCCAAGGAAATGGTGTGACCGACTTCTGCGCCCATCATCCTTTCACCCTCTGGCCCTTCGACTTCCTCCTTCCTTGCCCCTCCCCCCTCCCGCGCCACCCCCTTCCCTTCGACCGTTCTGTATCACTGGCCTCTGTCCTCAACGCCCGCTGTTTGTGTTCCGCCCTGCTGGCTCCCTGCGTCGTTTCCTTCGCACGTCGCTCTCCTATCCTCCTCATCCTCCTCCTCTTCCTCCTCCTCCTCCTCCTCATCCTCATCATCATCATCATCATTATCATCATCATCATCAGAAAAACGCTCTGCCCCCCTCCCTGCCCGACACAAACGATGCAACGTGGTTCGCCTCCATCACGTCCTCTCTGCCATTGTTGCCGAAGACGTCCTGGCGGCTCCTCAAAGTACTCTGACGGGTCATTGTGATCCACGTGCTGCATTGGGGACTGAAGTGGATGCACCCGTTCTCGATGGTAGCGGCGACAAGCCACATTGCGTATAGCATGCCAACCAGTTTGCAAGCATCTTGATAATTGTAATCAGCTCTTTCAAATGATCGAGCTCGAAGATTCGCACGTGATATCAGCATGTGCGAAGTGCCTGCTGCGCCAGAAAAAAGTTCGACGAAGTGCAGCTCCCGAGGGATGTCATCCAAATCATTGACCACGGCTGCTGCACACGTGTGGAGCATCAAGTTGCTCTGGTCAATGTTCTCAAGCTGAGCTACAACCCCATGGTTTGCAATACGTACTGCTTGGTGCTGCGCCCATGACAACGCTGCCTGACACACATCCGTCGGTGCACCCAGGGCATCACGAACCAGCATGACCAGCACAATCACCGCCTGAAAGCAATGAGTGGTAAACATGAGGATGCCTGTATCCACGGTGAAAGTTCAAGTCGTCTGACGAGTTCGATCAGATTGAAAATGCGCTGCTCAAACGTGCTGCGGTGGGCAAAACGCGCGAAATCGCGCAGAAGCATGTTCAATGTCTCGTCGACGAACGTGGAGTACATTTTGGGGCTCCCGTGGAAAGGTGTCCTGGAAAACGCAAGGTCATCCGAAACGCGATCCCACCAACTATAACTAAACACACCAAACTAAGCCAAACTATCACACCAACTATAACTATAACCCTATATATGTTGGGGACGCATTGGCCTTGCATTTGAGATGCATTGGTATTGCATTGGGTTTGCTTCGGGGTTCCTCTGGGGCAGCGTTGGAATTGTCGGGCGGCGACGCGGTAGGGGAAGCTGCTCGATTGTACCAACATGACCTCTTATACAAACAACGTCCTCTGCATCGTGTCAATCATCCTCCTTCTCCTCCTGCCCCTCGTCCTTGTCAATCCCCGTCGCCCCCTTGGGCCCAGAGCTGACCACCCTCCCTGTGTCGGGTGGCGAGCGGTTACAACCTTGATCGCCCGCTCTGCGGGCTGGCGGTTCCTGAGACCCTCGCCACCAACAGAAGGTGCGCTGCACGCGGACGGGGGGGGGGGCGTCGCCACAGGAGCGAGGGCGGCAAGAGATGGGATGATGGGAGGAAAGGAAAGACGCATCAGGGGCCACAGGAGAGGGGGAGGGGGAGGAGGGGAGGAGGGAGATAGGAGGAGGATGCGATGTTGTCGGTTGGAGATGAAGATGTTATGCGAGTTTGGCCCACGCGGTCCTTTCAACCAAATGGCACAGAAGATGATGCTTAGGCAGTAGCGCCACTCCAGACGCTTTGCAGCACCTGATGTGGACGTCGACGAGGTTCACCATCGCCTGGTGGCCCGCGTCGCTAACGACGCACGGCTCCTCGCGGATCGCTCCCAGGAGCGATTGCAGCGCCACGCCTGCTCCTAGAAATGCGCCTCCAAATACCGCAGCTCCTCCGAGGACCTGCAAGTGGTCGAGCACGAAATCCAGCATCAGCGCTGTCTCCGCTGCTTTGAGTTTAATTGTGCCACCAGGGTGCAGCGGCCGCTGGATAGCATTTGTTTTGTGTATATATATATATATATATATTTGTATATCTCTCTCTCTACCTTTGTATATCTCTGTATTTATCTCTCGCACTTTGTATCTCTCTCTACCTCTGACTGGCAGTATGTTTGTCTGTCTGTCTGTATGTTTGTTTGAATAGCTTTCTACACAGGTTTCCGACGTCACTGTATGATGTTGTGTATGTCTGCGATTCTCGCAGTCTCTCATTCTCTCTTGGAATTGCTGTTTCTGTTGGCGTTTACCTCTCCCGCTCTTTCAAACCTCATTGCCTGAAGGTGTGAAAAAACGCTGTCCTGGATACTGCTGCCTTTGATCTTCCCGAGCATCTTGAGCGTGACGGCCCAAATGCGGTTACCAAAAGGAATATGCTTATCCTGCTGCCAGCGTCTCAAGCAAGCGTTCATGTTGCGAATGCCGAGATCCAGAATATGTGGCTGAGTTCCTGGGAAATCATGCACATTCAACAATAATATCCTCCAGGCTGCTGCCGAGACCCACTTCTGCATCACACCCAGGTGGGCAGCGTGCATGATGTCCACTGCAAGCGACCTCGCTGGGCTTGTGCCCAAGGTGTCATTGAACAATGGGTTGCGATGACTGATCGGATCCATTGGGTATCCATTCTGGCTGACTCTCTGCCTCCAAAAAGTTACCCTACAAGGTGTAACCAGACGTGTGATGTTGCCTATGTCCCCGACAATGGCTGAGGGCTCCAGTCTGTCTCCTGGCAAAAGGCGCGTTCCTGCCACTGTTACTTCTGTCCCGATCCCGCGAGCAGCAAGGTTAGATTTCTGTTTCTTGCCACCCCCAGGCCGCATCCACCGGAGCCTCGAGTTGAGCTCTGCGAGGTCTGCGGGCGTGTTGAGATCGACGTGCACTTCGCACCTTTTACACGCTGCCTCGTAATCACCGTGCGCCCTAGCCGCCCACGGATTGGTCACATCTGATTCCCCAAAGGCGTCATGGTTATGCATGTCGGCTCCCGAACATTCGCAAAATTGGCAAGGATTGTGTATCTGGTTCCATCCTGCCAACCCCATGGCGCGCGTGTGCTCACACCAATCGCCCTTGATGTAACACACGCAAGCCGACAAGCCAAGGTCCATGTCCTCTGGGACATGCTCCTTCGGCCACGGCTGTCCATCGTGCTGTCGGTCGGGTCGAGCACCAGCTGCCAACGCTTCCAATTGCCAATAAATAGTTTGCAATATCGGCTGGACGCTGCACCATCCTTTGCAGCCGCAGGAGCACTCGTCCGACTTCCGAAGCGTCGCGAGCAAGTGACGCTTGCCTGTTAGCAAGTTCCCCATCCACCATCCCGTGACGCTATCCGACCGCCCAGCTGCAGTCTGGGAATATGATACTCCATCGACGTACACCGCCACTGGAATAGGCAACGGAGCGCCTGTGCGCCGCGCCTTCTGAACAAGGGGGTGCTCGCTGTACACGGGAAGGTCGAGCACGCATTTCTCTCGCTCGTGGGCAGCAGCGGTCAGCAGTTTCCCCGTGTCGCCACATTCGTTGCATTCATCCACCAAGCATTCGTATGCGAGCTTCACGGGGATCTGTCGCAAGCTGCGCCTATGCGATCTATTTTGGTTCATGGGAACATCCACGTAATATAAATCTGAAGGTTGCGGGAACACTGAGTCCAAATGCCGTTGGTATTTCCCAGATTGGAGGTTATCGGGCTGAGCATACGCGGCGAAATTGCCGCCTGCAACGCCTGCGTCCGAACATAATTTGCAAGCTGTGCAGAACTGTTTCGCCGTTAACCGAGACGACCCATAAAATTGGAGCAGCAACTTCAAGAGATCTGCGCCAGCGGCGCGACATGCTTCGGAATTCACGTCGGTCGGTGACCTCTGCTGGTCACCATGAAATCTGCACTGTGGGGGAGGTGGTGGAATCATGGTGCGCCGTCGAGCCTCCCAATCGGCTGGTACGGAAGACAAGAGAACGCAAATGATATGTATGATGCCAACGTTGATGGTGGACGGAGGCGTGGAGGACGGAGACGGTATAGGGAGGATAATGCTGAGGGTCGAGGGGGGAGGGTGAGGGGGCGGAAGAGGATTGATGAGAGAGGGGCGAATTAAGCGGGAAAGAGAGCGAGAGAGCGAGAGAGACATAGAGCGCGATGGGAGAGGGAGCAAGACATGTAGAACTGACAGGCTGCAATCTTGAATGTAGTGACTCGGTTATCTTCAGGGGCCTGCAACAGTCGGACGTGCGTTGCAACGTATACCAGTTACGTTTTTTTTCGCACATCAGAGCGTAGTGTCAAGATATCACTAGCAGCATCGGCGCTCGACTGGCATTGCCTGCTTTCTGGGGGGTCCTGGATGTATTGTCTGAGTTTCCGAACCTGGACTGAGTGTTCAAAGCCCCCTCAAGCTCCCCAGTGTTGTTTTGCCAGCCGCTTCAAACTGCAAAAGGAGTGTCTTCTGCCCCCCTATGCGCGACCGCATCGAGATACAGATGCGCCGCGTGCTCCAGAGGAGAGAGCAGGCGGCCCCCCGAATAAATATGCCAGCTAGCGCTCTCGCTCAGGTAAAGCACCATCCCCCCGTGATCATGTTAGGATCGCCCCAACCGTCGGAAAAAACAAAATTGCCTTGATTTTTTCATCGCAGGCTGCAGATTTTACATTTTTACCGGATTTTACCGGATTTTACCGGCCCCGTTGGGGCCGTCCGATTTCCAACGGTACTCCAACGGTAATCCAACGGCAGTGTTGGGGCGAAATCCAACGGTCGAAACACTGTTATTTTACAGGTTTCGTGAACATTTCCAACGGTAATCCAACGGTCGATTTCCAACGGATTTCCAACGGTAATCCAACGGTGGTTTTTGGATGCCCAGGGCGGTTCAAACCAGTTCCAAACGTCCAGAAGCCTTTTTTTGGGGTGGCAGACATGGTTGGCATGATTTTTGGTTGTTAACACCCCTCCATCACGATTACTACTCACCGACGAGCGCGAGCACTAACATCACAAAAGTAACTTGCACAGAGTCTCGTCAGCTAAGCACCTCGGAACTGGCTCCCCTCCATGCTCCGCGCGGCGCTTCGCCGTGACGCAGCCCTCGGAGGTGTGGCGAGCGCAGCCTCGGCTCCTCCTCAGCGCGGCCTCCTCAGCGCAGCCTCGACTCCTCCTCAGGCTTCCTCGCCGAACCTCCTCTGGCCTCCCCGCCTCACGGCCGCCGCAGCACCCCTGAAGCCCCCAGCAGCAGCAGCATCATCCTGCAGCCTCTCCCGCGCGCCTAAGCCGCAGGTTTAGCCGCTGCCTTGCCCTTCTTGCGCTTAGGAGGCTTGCCAGCCTCGTCCCCGCCGCCGCCTGCAGCAGCTGCAGCGTCAGCCTGCGCCTTAGCATCCCTCTCACGCTTCACGCGGGACATGTCCATGACCTGCTGGACCTCGCTCTCGAGCTCCCCAAGGAACGGCTTGACATCGAGTACTTTCTGCATCAGGGACCACATGTCCTTCTCAGGCACTCGCTTCTGCAAGGTCGCAAGGTTCTCGAACATGGCCTGTGCGACAAGGGGGTCCTCACTGACCTTGCTCTCAAGGTTTGTGTGCTTGTCCCTCATTGCAGCTGCGCTGGCCTTCAGCACATCTGGATTCAGACCTGACCAATTCGGGTTCCGATCGATCGCGGCCAGGAGCGTATTGGTCTGTGCAGATAGGGTACTGTACGCTGCGATGACAGTGCGGGCCTCGACGATCCTCAGCTGGAGCGGGGTCTTCTTCTTCTTGTCGACTGTAGACGAAGGCTCGATTGGGGTCTCAGGCGCAGGCTGACCCTCCGCCAGCGTGCCGCCAGCTCCTCCGCCGCCTCCTCCTGGATTGCCCTCGCCTTTGCCTTTGCGCCCGCGCTTTCCAGCGCCAGTGCCAGCACCTGTGCCGCCGCCGCTCGGGTTGCCGTCGTTGCCAGCACATTTGCCAGCACCTTCCTCAGCAGCGGAACCTCCTTCGGCGCTCCTCTCCTCGTCGGGCTTCTCAGACCATTCCACGTGCTCCCTCCACGACGTCGAGAAAGTCTCGCGCAGGCCGCTGACCACGTATAATCCCCGTAATGATTCAGTCCACTCGTCGTAGATGACCCATGGGGGGCCCATCGCCATGCATTTGATCATGTACTTGCTTGCCTGGCTGGCAATTCGGAACAGTCATGGCACTAGCTTTCACACCACTCGGATGACGGACAGCATTTTCAATCGAATGGGCCAATACACCCCCGCCCAAGACGTCCCATGCCCCTCCGAACAAAAAAACAAAAACAAAAAAATGACGTGAAGGCGCACTAGATGATCAGCTGTTCACGTTCGCCCAGCCAACTTTCCCTCCTCCCTCTAGATGCGCTATCCTCCCAATGGGGAGGTAGCTCGATTCCTTCCACTGGGTCCTCGTTTCCTCCGTGATCTTCACAAGGTTCCGAGTCACGGTCGCGTGGGTGTCCATCGCCCACTTCTTCCGAAACTCATCCTTTGCAGCTCTGCCGATGGTCGCCTCGTATGCTTTGCGCCGCTTCGGGCACTGCAGGGCGCGTTGCCAGCGCCCCGCTTGTTGTGGATTCACCTTGCCGTCCGTCGTGATCTTGAATCCTGCGTCTTTGACTGAGGCCCAGAAGTCGTACTCCTTACGATCTTTCTCGCTCAACTTGTCGATATGCGATTGCATGCCAATCTCCATGCCAGCTTTCTCAGGATCATCTGGCCACTCTGGCGCCTTCTGTAAAGAGAACCCCTTCAGTTCAAGCAAGTTCTTGAATAAGTCTCCACGGAAGAGCTCCAGCATCTCCTTCGCAATCTTGTACTTTGCGTTCTCATCAAAGTCTTGCTGCGAGTCGATGAGTTTCTGTCGGGAACTGGAAAGGGTCTAAACTCCCTGGCTGCGAGACTCACCCTCACTTGCTAGCACGCTTTGCGCCAGTCTACCATTTCAATTTAACTGAACATGCATGTGGGCTGCTACGTAATTGCAGTAATATTACACGTGCATGTGCATTGGAATTGCGTTGGATTTGCGTTGGGATTGCGTTGGAATTGCGTTGGAATTGCGTTGGATTTGCGTTGGAGTTGCGTTGGAATTGCGTTGGAATTGCGTTGGATTTGCGTTGGAAGTGCATTGGAATTGCGTTGGAATTGCATTGGGATTGAATTGGGGCGCTCGGGGGCTGTAAACATATATGTACGTGACACTGCTTTTTTGTCATTGTAAATTATCATACTGGCATCTGGTCGGAGATGAGTCTGCTTACGGGGCCTCTATGTTTTCCAGTGGTGATGGTTGCGGCCTGCAAAGGTGCATTATCCCCCTACAAGGTCTTCAATCTCAGCCTCTCCTACTCCCTGGTTCCATCCTCAGCTTCTCCAGTTCATATTGTGTCCTATGTTATCCGTTATCCCTTCAGTGTCCTCCACTGCCCCCGCCGCGCCCTTGACCTCGGACATCGCCTTCTGGCGGCGCGACACCTTAGGCGGCGTCTCATCAGGAGTCCCCGCTCTCGAAGGAGGTGCAGCGCACGATGTCGATTTGGCAGGGCGAAGAGGGGCGTTGTCGGAGTCGGAATCAGAGACGGGCGCTGCCACCACAGCCTTCGCCTTGGTGGCCTCTGGGGGATTGTTGATTGCCGACCTCATCTCGTCGCCTCCTCCCCTCTTTCCTCATCCATCCTTCTAATCCACCTCCCTCTCCTCCTACCTAATGCACTCCTCCCCTCACTCCCCCCCCGTCTCCCCCAACCTCCCCCCCCATGCAGGTGCCCATCCGCACTTCCAGGGCCCAACCGATCCACCACGCAGCAGGCGACTTTCTTTCTTATGCAGCAAGCGTGCAGAGGGCGAGGAGACATGAGGAAGCAGCAGAGAACCGATCTCCATTCGAGCGGAGTGTACTCGATTGTTCTTGATTCGATCTCGACTCGAACTCGATGTTGGCTCGATCCCGACTCGATCCGATTCGATCCGAAATGGATGTTGACTGTCGTCCTGCACCCGCCTCCCTCCCCCCGTTTCACACCGCCGGCCTGGCACTCCGCCTGCAAGGCCCTCTGCGGCGTGATCGGCGTGTACGGGATGGTATCCTCTCCTGCTGCTGCGGCGAACGCGCTGGTCATCTCCTCATTCTGCTTGTCCAGGTCGGTTCCTCGCGGCGACCTCTCTGGCGACCTCCGCGGCGGTGGCGGCGGCGGCGGCGGCAGCGGCGGCCTTGGCCTCGGCCGCGCCGCCGATGCCTGCCTGCCGCGATCCTTGGAAGCTCTGCCAGGGGAATTGGTGCGCTCTGGACTCGGGCTGTGGCCGTACTTCTTTTTGTATTGCTCGAGCGAAGCGGCAATCGCAAGTCTCGCCTCTTCCTCCTCTCTCTCCAGCCTCTTTGCCTCGTCCTGCTGCGCTGTGTTCTGGCTGTGGAGGATCGCCTTCTCTATGTCTTCCTCGGTGTCATCGCCGCAGACGCGCTCCTGCTCTGCGGGCCTGTCGTCATCCGAGTGAACTGACTCCACTTGCGTGTCCTCCGCCTTCTCGGCAGTCGAGGGTCCGTCTAGAGGAATGCATTCTGGTGATGAGGGGATGTCCAGCGAAGTGCGCAGCCTTTTCGCTTGCTCTGTGTCATTGACTGCACTGCTGCGCTTCCCAGCTGGCGCTGCCTCCCCGCCACCTTTGGCTGCCGTCTGCTGCGTCGGCTCGATGTCGGCGCCATCCACTTCCATCGGTGCAACTTCTGCCTCAGCGCGAGCCTCTCCTGCTGCTGCTGCCTCTGCCGTGGCGACCTCCTCCTCCTCCTCATCCTCCTCCTCCTCTGCAGCCCCTGCTCCCGCGCGCTCCTCGTGCTCATCCTCTCCAGGCGTTTCCTCTCCATCTGCTGCTGCCTCCCTCGCGGCCTCCTCAGCCAGTGCCGATGCGAGGGCTGCCTGATTCTCCGCCTCATATTCCTGCCGCCTCAAGGCCCAGCGCGTGAGCTTGCTGGCGCGATCGAGCCCCTGCGTGTCTCTAGGGCACGCGTCAGGCGGCTCCGAGAAGCTGGCCATGGATGATGCGGTGGTCTCTTGCGACGGCATGGCGAGCAGTCGACCGATCGGTGTAGCCCAGAATTTCTTAGTCGGAGGCCCTCCCGCTAACACCTTGGGCATCTCGCTCGAGCTGAATGAAATGGATCTGAGGTTCGAAACCAAAAACAATGGGAACGAAAGCCACGGTGAAGTCAGGGACGATGTGCACGGGGAGGGCCGAAGAGGATGGCACAGGATAGTGAGGATAACGAGGGGTGGAGTAGGATATTGAGGAGGAAGAGGAAGATGTTTTGGAGAATGCGGAGGACGAGGAGGAGATGAAGCGGGTGGGGCCCCGCGCCCCTCCGCCCAGGCGAAAATATCACCGACCTCGAGAACTTCGTCACTTTCTCCCCGCCCACCCCCCTGAGCCTAGGCGCTCCTGTGGTCCCCCGTCATGCTGTCGTCATCGGTCGTTTTTCCCTCGCTCATCTCTGTTCCTTCCGCCCTCCTTATCTCGCCTCTCACTTCCCCAGTCGCCTTCCCTCAACCCTCCCTCTTCGGCTTGCTCTGATCGACTTCCTCCTTCCTCCACCCCTACGTCTCTCCTCGCCCTTCTCGCCATTCTCCCCTCGAGCACCCTCAACCTTTTCAAAAGAACCCCAGGCGCCAGACTGCGCTCCAAGGTGCTGCTGCGCGCTCGCACTCAGCAGCAATCCAGCAGGCTCTCCCCGGGCGCGGGCTCCCCCTCAGAGCCGCCGCCCTCAGAGCCTCCTGGCGAACGCGGCTGCTCCCCCTGAGCGGCCTGCTGGCCCGCCAGCGCGGCGGCTCCTCCTGAGCTCTTTGCCGACGGCCTCCTCCGAACGGCCTGGCCCTCCTCTGGCGGCGCCGTGGCAGGCTTCGACGCCTTGGGCCGCGGCATCTCAGCTGGCGTCGGCACCTGCCTCTTGCGGCTCTGCCTCGTCTTCACCTCGGTGATCGCGGGCTCCTCGTCTCCCTCAGGGCCGTTCCGACCTTCTTCTTCGGACTCTTCCTCCTCCTCCTCATCCTCGCCCTCATCTTCGTCGCCCTGGCCCTTCTCCTCAGCCTCGCTGCCGTTGCCCTCGCTGGCGTCGTCTGCTCCTGCGGCGCTGCCCTCCTCCTCCTCCTCCTCCTCCTCCTCCTCTCTTTACTTTGTCGTCCTCCTCCTCTTCCTCCTCCTTCTTTACCTCGCCGTCCTTCTCGGCGCCTCCTCGCGAAGCCTCAGCCGCAGCAGGTCTCTTCTGAGCTGCGCCTGGCCTCTTGAGAACTGCAGCACCTTTCGCCCTGTTCGTTTTCAGGTGCTCCTTTTTGGCCTCCTCCGCCGCCGCCTTGTCAAGCGTGCCATCGTGGAGATCGGCGAGGATCTTCAGCATGCAGGTCTTCGCGTCCTCGAGCCTCTCGTACCCTGTCATCTGCATGAACTGCTCGAAACGCTTGCCCCCAGGCTGCATGCGCCAGACCACCAGCCACGATCCACGCTTGGCGTGATTCACCAGCGCAACGACCAAAGCACCCTGCCGTTGTCGCCGTGAATATCACGCAGCGTGAATTGGCCAATGGCTGCCCTCTGCAACGCAGCCTCCTCGTCGGCGCTGCTGCCGATGACCTTCCAGCTTGCGCCGCAGGGCCAGGTCGCGATCAGCAGCTCCTCGCCTGCGACCACCTTCGCAGGCGTGTACTCGGGCAGCGCAGACTTGGCCGAGCCCTTCTTGATCCTCCAGGCGGCCTGCGGCTACGATAGACTCTCTCCTCTCCTCCTTTGCGTCCTCGATCATCCCTCTCCTCCGCCTCCTCCTCCTCCTCCTCCTTCTCCTCCTTCTCCTCCTCCTCCTCGTCATCATCCTCCTCTTGCTCCTCCTCCTCCTCCTCCTCCTCCTCCTCCTCTTGATCCTCCTCCTCCTCCTCCTCATCTTCCTCCTCCTCTTCCTCCTCAACCCCCTTTTCCTCACCCCCCTTTTCCATCTGATCTCCTCTCCCGTATCCTACCTCACATCATTGTTCTCTCCCCCATCTGCTCTTTCTCGAGACTCTCCGTTGTTCCTCGTCATCGTCGCATTCATCCTCCTCATCCTCCTTCTCCTCCTCCTCATTCTCCTCCTCCTCCTCCTCCTCTCCTCTTCCGCTCATCCCCCCCTCTCTCGCCCTCCCCCATTGGCCTTCATCGACTCGTCGTAGCCGAACTGCCACTCCCCGACCTCCTCGAGAATCGGAAGCGCGCGCTCGTCCTTGGCGGCCATCTTGGGCCGCTGCTGCTGCTGGTGCTCCTCCTGCTGGTCTTCCTCCTCCAGGAACGCCGCGGCCCACTTTGGCGGCCTGACAGTGGGTTTTGAAAATCTACCCCCTCGATTCCCTCTCCCAGGAGAGGGGTTCGGGCGGGTGCGATCGGGACGGCAGAGGACAGGGAAGAGGATAGCTGGAGGTTGAGCTGAGCTGGAAATTGAGAAACTGACATCCTCTCTCCTCCTCCTTCCTCCTACCTCTCCCCCCTCCTCCTCCCTCCCCCCCCTCATCCCCCCTCTCCTCTCCCCCTTTCGTCCGACCGTCTCCTCCCCTCCCTGCATTTGAACCCCATGCGCCTCCTCCCCTCGCGCGGCGTCAGCGCGTCCCTCACGTGACTGAGCATCGCGCGAACCCTGCGGCTGCGCGAAACTGCCCAGTGCTCCACTTCGTTGGCGAGGTGCCATTCGCTCTCCTTGGAGCGGGCGATCGCCAACAGCGCTGCCTTCGCTGCGGGGGTGGGACTCCTCCACTTTCCTGTTCCTCCTCCTCTCCTACCCCTCCTCCTGCTGCTGCTTCTCAGTCCTCCTCCTCCTCCTCCTCCTCCTCATCCTCCTCATCCCTCCTCCCACTCCTCATCCCTCCTCCCACTCCTCATCCCTCCTCCCACTCCTCATCCTCCCCCCCTTCTCCTCCTGCCCCTCCTCCCCCTCCTCCTCCTCCTCCTGCCCCTCCTCCTCCTTCCCCTCCTCCCTCCTCCCTCCCTCCCCCTCCTCCTCCTCCTGCCCCTCCTCCTCCTCCTCCTCCTCCTCCTGTTCCTCCTCCTCCTCCTCCTCCTCCTCCTCATCCTTGCCGTTCGAGCCTTGGCCGCCTCCTGGTTCACGTTGGACCTCCCCAGGGCGCGCGTGGCCCTGAGGAGGTCGGCGTGATGTGCGATCACCTTGTGATCTTTCTGGCCAGTGACCTTCTCTGCGTAGTCCAACGCGTTGAACACGTTGGCGAAGGGGGCCCAGACCTCCTGGAGCTTCGCCGCGTTGTTGAAGCAGCTCTCCCTCGGCTCCGTGGCGGACTCCGCCTCCAATGGATTCCATCGCATTTCCAACGCGTTTCCAACGCGCTGGAAATGCGAGGCGCTAAAGGGGTTCACCGGAGCTCGAGCGACAGCGCCCTCCTCCTCCTCCTCCTCCTCCTCCTCCTCCACCTTCTCCTCCTCCTCCTCCTCCTCCTCCTCCTCCTTGTCCTCCTCTCCTGCTCATCGCCTCCTCAGCCTCCCTCTCCCCTCCTCTTCTCCTCCTCCTCCTCCTCCTTCTCCTCCTCTTTCCTGGTTCCCACCGGCTCTCCTCTTACCATTGTTGTTATTTTCAGAAGATCCGATGGCCTCAGAGGTACTCTAACTCGTCGCGGGGGTCGTTTGGCCCAACGACCAAAACATCAAAATCGCTGACCTAGGATAGAGGAAAAGAAAAGACGTTGCCATCGTGATCAAAAACATGTTTTCTACCCCTCGTACAATTTGTTGTCGAAGAAAACGGTGCGCACGTTCCTGATCACGATGGCAACGATTTCTCTTTTCCTCCAGGCCCGAGAGCAACTGCGCCAACACTTACCCACAGGAATCCGATGCTGCTCAGGCGTAGTAGCCTGGTGATCCAGGAGATTTCACGTTTTCGTTGTTTCTGTTGTTTTGTGCGTTAGGTTTGGGGGGGGGAAGCCTATCAAACTAGTGGGTGATAGGCAATGCACGCTTTCCAATGCCCGTGCCTCGCGCTTCGGCGGCGGCATGCGCCTGCTCCGCCTGCGCCTCCGCCTGTGCCTCCTCCGCCTGCGCCTCCTCCGTGCGCGTCCTGGCGCCGCCTGCGCCGCGTGCCGCCTCCTGGCGCCGACCTCCTGGCGCCGCCTGCCGCCTCCTGCCGCCTCCTGGCGCCGCCTGGCGCCGCCTGCCGCCTGCCGCCTCCTGGCGCCGCCTGCCGCCTCCTGGCGCCGCCTGCCGCCTCTGCGCCGCCTGCCGCCTGCGCCGCCTCGGCGCCTCTGGCCTCCTCGAGGCCTCCTCGCCGCGCCGCTGCGGCGCCGCGGCCGCGCGCGCGGGCGCGGCGGAAGCCAAACGGCAGCGGCAGAAGGCAAGATCAGCAATCGAACAAAAAGTACAAACACATACAAAAACATATGTTATGTAAGCAATATCATGCAAATATCTTGCGCAACTCAAGGCAAATGCAACACAATGCATTAATTAATAAACAACTGCAGTGCACTTGTTTTTTTCAAGTCAAACGCTGCACTTGAGAAAATGAAGGATCTGGACCAGAGGGAAGTGAGGATGTCTCAAGCGAGGGCGCCGGTTTGGGATTCGTCACCGGATCCACCGGATCTGTCCGGAAACGGTGCCGGAGGCCGCTCTGGGCTCCTCTGGGCACCTCCCCCGGGGCCGGTTTTGTGAGGATGTCTCAAGCGAGGGCGCCGGTTTGGGATTCGTCATCCGGATCCACCGGATCTGTCCGGAAACGGTGCCGGAGGCCGCTCTGGGCTCCTCTGGGCACCTCCCCCGGGGCCGGTTTTGTGAGGATGTCTCAAGCGAGGGCGCCGGTTTGGGATTCGTCCACCGGATCCACCGGATCTGTCCGGAAACGGTGCCGGAGGCCGCTCTGGGCTCCTCTGGGCACCTCCCCCGGGGCCGGTTTTGTGAGGATGTCTCAAGCGAGGGCGCCGGTTTGGGATTCGTCACCGGATCCACCGGATCTGTCCGGAAACGGTGCCGGAGGCCGCTCTGGGCTCCTCTGGGCACCTCCCCCGGGGCCGGTTTTGTGAGGATGTCTCAAGCGAGGGCGCCGGTTTGGGATTCGTCGGCGGATCCACCGGATCCACCGGATCTGTCCGGAAACGGTGCCGGAGGCCGCTCTGGGCTCCTCTGGGCACCTCCCCCGGGGCCGGTTTTGTGAGGATGTCTCAAGCGAGGGCGCCGGTTTGGGATTCGTCACCGGATCCACCGGATCTGTCCGGAAACGGTGCCGGAGGCCGCTCTGGGCTCCTCTGGGCACCTCCCCCGGGGCCGGTTTTGTGAGGATGTCTCAAGCGAGGGCGCCGGTTTGGGATTCGTCACCGGATCCACCGGATCTGTCCGGAAACGGTGCCGGAGGCCGCTCTGGGCTCCTCTGGGCACCTCCCCCGGGGCCGGTTTTGTGAGGATGTCTCAAGCGAGGGCGCCGGTTTGGGATTCGTCACCGGATCCACCGGATCTGTCCAGAAACGGTGCCGGAGGCCGCTCTGGGCTCGTGCTCTTCGCGCCGGGGGTGAGGATGACGTGAGTTCCACAGAAACTCCCTCAAATCATCATTACCATCGACATCATCAACATAATCATCATCAGACTCATTGTCGTCATCGTCGTCATCGCAATCGGCATCGTCATCCTCATCAACAATATCATCATCACCACGGCTCGCCCAAACCTGGAGATACTAGTACGAGTTGCAGCACGCGACGGCCTCCCGTGCCCCTCAGAACAGCCGCCACCCAGAGTGCTGGGCTGGTACGGCGGCGGGACCTGCCGCAGGCAGCTGGACATGCAGTGACCAGGTCTGCCAGAGGCTCTGCAGAATGCGCTGCAGCTGCCGCCATCAGGATCTCGCCGCGCAGAGGAGCCGAGCCTCCTCCTCCACATCCTCCTCCTCCTCCTCCTCCTCCTCCTCCTCCTCCTCCTCCTCCTCCTCCTCCTCCTCCTCCTGCTCCTCCTCATCCTCCTAACTCTAGCCTCCCGAAGGCCCCGCGCGAACCAGCGCGCACGGTTACGGCACGACGGAGCGCCTTCGGGATGTCCAAGTGCGCGTAGTCCAGACCCACGCCCTCTTCATCCCCCTCCTCGTCCCAGCTCGGGTCCCAGCCGTCACCGGCTGCTCCACCTTACGGCAGGGAGGGGGACGGAGCCGAGGAGGATATTCTGGAAGCTCTGGAAGATCTCGGATGGTCTTTGGTAGTCTTCCTACGTCTCGGGAAGTCTCCGGAGGTTCTGGGAATGGGAGGCGGAGGAAGGCAGAACGGGAAGGAGAAAGAGGAGGCGGCAGGAGTCGGGGAAGAAGGAAGAGGAGGAAAGGAAGGAATGAGGGTGGGAGTGCGGAGGAGACAGGATGAGGGGGAGGGGGGGCAGCAGCACCGATCCTCCAGGAGGGGGGGTCGCTCCTCCTCTTCCCTCCTCGACCCTCACCCCCTCCTCCCGACAGAGTCGGTTTGGGGCGATCTTGGGAATAATCCTCCTCCCCCTCCTCCCGTCCCTCCTCCGCCCCCTCCTCCCCTCCGTCTCTCACTCCCCTCCGTCTCTCCGAAAACTCCAGGCTCTTGCAAATCACGCTCCGCGGCAAGCTCACCCCAAGAAAGAGAACAATGATCTTCGCAATCTTCGCATGCTTCTTCATCGCCGGCCTCGACGATGGCGTCGCAGTCGCGCTCGAGTTCCTGCGTGGACGGCGCCGTAGGTGAGCTCGGTAAGCCCCAAGATCCAGCGCTTGCCGACAATGTCGACGTCGGCGCCAGATCTTACCGAGGTACATAAGCGCGGGAAGATGGAAGTTAAGATGCGGTTCGTTGTGCGCACGTGACGAGTTCGAGAATGTTGCGAAGCCGTGCTCTGCCGCAGGCGCCGTAGCTAGTCTCGCCGCTGTCGGCCCAGTACTGCAAGTAGCTGAGGCCGCGCCCTTCATCGCACGTCCAGTCGACGAGTTCGTCGCCCTCGTAGTCCTGGCCATACTCCAGGATGCGACCACAGTGACTACCGTCGCTCAAATAGTGATAAGAAGCCGCCCCAGCATTCGTGTCTCGCTTGGCCATGCAAATCAACATCGTGCATGCAGAAGAGAATTGCTCAATCTTTCCGCCGGCGTCAAGGTTTATGCACGCAGTGAAACGAGCAGACAATCCAGACAATTTGCACAACAAGGGAATACATCCAACATTTAGATGTCGTGAGATCGGCATTCTCGTTCGTTTCCGCGCAGCCCCTACTGAAATTCAACAGGTACTATTGAACTGCATTGTTGCCCCTTCGTGCGCCCAGGCATCGATCCAAGAAATCACCCTGCCGATCTTGATCGTGCAGGTCAAATGCATCCGTGAGATTCTGCATTAAGTGACTAGTTCCACTCATGCCCGCTGCAATCAGTACCGCGCCGTTCGCGTCGAGTCGTCCTCAACTCGGATAATGGTGTTGCGTTCCCCTTGCGTCGACCTCCATCGCGTGTGATATCCAACGCCATGGCAACCGTGAGGGCCCGGCCGATTAATCTCGACGCCATGCTCGGGCCTGCCTCCTTCTCGTCCAGCGGCGTCAGCCGCCGATGCATATGTAGCCTCTGCACGTAGGCACTCAAAAGATACGCCTCGTCGCGCAGCTTCCATCCACGAGGCGCATACCGCGTGAACTCCTACAGGCTTGCCAGGGTCTTTTAGTTAACCATTATGATGGAGAGAACAAATGGCGCCGCCAGCGACGATACCCCTCGCACTCTCGTAGATGCTGGCCGATGATGCAGTAGCTGGCCTTCGCCGGGAAAGCCTCGAGTTCCTTGGAGCTCGTCGCGGAGATGCCGAGGATCCCGCAAAGGAGGCGCCTGGTGGCGCCGATCGCGCGCGGCCCGCCACGCGCGTGGAGCTTGCGTTCCGCTACCAAACTAACGTAATGGGGGACAACCCTCGTCTGAATGTGAATACAATCCTGCTGTCCTGCTCCCCGTGCCAACGGTGCGCAGGGCCCCATGTTGGGTAGTCGGGCGAGGGCGCGCGGGTCGCCTGCAAGGATATCATCGGTCTCCGAAGAGCACCTCACCCGCGCCCTCTGGAGTTACGCCACCAGGGCGCCACAGGCAATCCGGTTTCAAATAGAGGTCCTCCAACCCCGTTTGAAAAACGCCATGTCGAACGAGCAGTTGTTTACTCGACATATCAGGAGGCTGGACATCGTTTCCCGCCTGGTCCATTCCTGCATTCTGAATCAGGTTATTCTTTGGCATTTGCACGAGGTGCATTACCTCCACAGGGCAGCGCCCTGATACGGCTGCATAGGGGTGGACCTTCCCCAATCTTGCATTATTGCGAAAGGTAGTCTTGCCAGCGTCAGGCGTTCCGTTCATGCGTTGACCCCTCCAGCCGAGGCTTCGTTCCCTCATGTTCTTACCCCTCATGCTGGGGTTTGCCGTTCATGCGTCGACGCACCATGCTGAGGCCTTGGCCCCTCACGCGTCGACCCCTCATGCTGGGGCCTTGGCTGGCCCCTCATGAAATAGAACCCCCGAACTGGGGCAGCGCCCCTTCATGCGTCGGGACTTCGGCCCCTCATGCCCTGACCCGCTCATGCTGGGGCCTCGGCTGGCCCCTCATGCATTGACCCCCTCATGCTGGGGCATCGGCCCTTCATGCGTTGACCCCTCATGCCGGGGCTTCGGCCGCTCATGCCCTGACCCCTCATGCTGGGGCCTTGGCTGGCCCCTCACGCGTTGACCCCCCATGCTGGGTCATTGGCCCGTCATTCGTTCACCCCTAATGCCATGGCTTCGGCCCCTCATGCGCTGACCCGCTCATGCTGGGGCCTTGGCTGGACCCTCATGCTCGGGCTTCGGCCCCTCATGCGTTGACCCCTAATGCCCGGGCTTCGGCCCCTCATGCCCTGACCCCTCATGCTGAGGCCTTGGCTGGCCCCTCATGCGTTGACCCCCTCATGCTAGGGCATTGGCCCTTCATGCGTTGACCCTTTCATGCTAGCGCCTTGGTCCCTTCATGCGTTGACACCCTCATGCTGGGGCTTCGGCTGGCCCCTCATGAATTGACTCCAACATGTTGGGGCAGTGCCCCTTCATGCGCTGACCCACCATGCCCCCCTCATGCCAGGGCTTCGGCCCCTCATGCCCTGACCCCTCACGCTGGGGCCTTGGCTGGCCCTTCATGCGTTGACCCCTCATGCTCGGGCTTCGGCCCCTCATGGCCTGGCCCTTCATGCTGGGGCCTCGACTGGCCCCTCATGCGTTGACGCCCTCATGCTGGGGCATTGGCCCTTCATCCTTCATGCGTTGACCCCTCATGCCTGGGCTTCGGCCCCTCGTGCCCTGACCCGCTCATGCTGGGGCCTTGGCTGGCCCCTCATGCCCTGACCCCTTCGTGCTGGGGCATTGCCCCTTCATGCGTTGACCCCTGATGCTAGGGCATCGGCCACTCATGCCCTGACCGCTCATGCTGGGGCCTTGGCAGGCCCCTCATGCGTTGACCCCCCGAAGCTGGAGCATGGGCCCTTCACGCGTTGACCCCTTATGCCCGGGCTTTGGCCCCTCATGCCCTGGCCCCTCATGCTGGGGCCTTGGCTAGCCCCTCATGCGTTGACCCCCTCATGCCGGGGCATTGCCCCTTCATGCGTTGACCCCTCATGCCGGGGCTTCGGCCCCTCATGCCCTGACCCCTCATGCTGGGGCCTTGGCTGGCCCCTTGTGAGTTGACACCCTCGTGCTGGGGCAGCGCCCCTTCATGCGTTGACCCCATCCTGCCCGGGCTTGAGCCCCTCATGCCCTGACCCGCTAATGCTGGGGCCCTGGCTGGCCCCTAATACGATGACCCGCTCATGCTGGGGCATCGGCCCTTCCAGCGTTGATCCCTCATGCCGGGGCTTTGGCATCATGCCCTGACCCGCTCACGCTGGGGCCTTGGCTGGCCCCTCATGCCCTGACCCCCTCATGCTGGGGCATCGGCCCTTCATGCGTTGATCCCTCATGCCTGGGCTTCGGCCCCTCATGCCCTGACCCCTCATGCTGGGGCCTTGGCCGGCCCCTCATACGACGACCCGCTCATGCTGGGGCATCGGCCTTTCCGGCGTTGATCACTCATGCCGGGGCTTCGGTCCCTCATGCCCTGACCCGCTCATGCTGGGCCTTGGCTAGCCCCCCATGCGTTCACACCCTCGAGCTGGGGCATTGGCCCTTCATGCGTTGCCCCCTCATGCCGGGGCTTTGGCCCCTCATGCCCTGACCCCTCACGCTGGGGCCCTGGCTGGCCCTTCATGCGTTGACCCCCTCATGCTGGGGCATCGGCCCTTCATGCGTTGACCCCTCATGCTGGGGCTTCGACTCCCCATGCGTCAACCCCCTCGAGCTGGGGCATTGGCCCTTCTTGCGCTGACCCCTCATGCCCGGGCTTCGGCCCCCTATGCCCTGACCCCTCATGCTGGGGCCTTGGCTGGCCCCTCACGCCCTGACCCCCTCATGCTGGGGCATCGGCCCTTCCGGCGTTGACCCCTCATGCCAGGGCTTCGGCCCCTCATTCCCTGACCCCGCACGCTGGGGCCTTGGCTGGCACCTCATGCATTGACCCCCTCATGCTGGGGCATTGCCCCCTCATGCGTTGACTCCCTCATGCCTGGGCTTCGGCCCCTCATGCCCTGACCCCTCATGCGGGGGCCTTGGCTGGCCCCTCATGCGTTGACCACCTCATGCTATGGCATCGGCACTTCATGCGTTGGTCCTCCATGCCCAGCCTTTGGCCCCTCATGCCCTGACCCCTCATGCTGGGGCCTTGGCTGGCCCCTCGTGCCCTGACCCCCCATGCTGGGGCATTCGCTCTTCATGCTCTGACCCCCCATGCCTTCGGCCCTTCGCCCCCTGACCGACTCATGCTGGGGCATTGGCTGGCCCCTCATGCGTTGACCCCCTCATGCCGGGGCATTGCCCCTTCATGCGTTGACCCCTCATGCCGGGGCTTCGGCCCCTCATGCCCTGACCCCTCATGCTGGGGCCTTAGCTGGCCCCTCATGCGTTAACCCCCCCATGCTGGGGCATTGGTCCTCCATGCGTTGACCACTCATGCCATGGCTTCGGCCCCTCATGCCCTGACCCGCTCAAGCTGGGGCCTCGGCTGGCCCCTCATGCGTCGA